GTGTTTGTCTCTCTGAGTGTCTTTGCATGTGAGTTTCTGTTTCTCAGACTCTCCCTTGGTCTCCAGCCCCATTCTGTCTATCCCTTTCTTCCCTCTTAGTCTTCCCTGCTGTACTAGTATCTTTCTGTCGCTCTCCTTTTTCTGGCTCCATTCTCGTTCCTTTGTCTTCCTTCTTTCTCCCCAGAACTATTCCTCAGTTAATACATCACTCTTCTGATAACTTTCACTAGTGCTGTTTGCCTGTGTTTTTGTGTTATTTTTCACTTGCTTCCATACCAGGGTAATTCATTTTATCTGGGTGGCTATACATAGTACTATAAAAATTCACAGCAGTGAAGTCTGAGAATTGGCATAAGTTTTAAACCTGCTTCATCTTCCCGGACTTTCTTTCCACCTCCCCCTTTCCTCTGTGCCTCCAACCCCCACATACGTCCTTGCTCCACAAGGAAGATGGCAAAGCATATTTGGTTACATAGTGATTTGAAATCAGGCTGTGAAACTCACACACAATGATTAATCAGAATACATTGAGATTCTGCTTGATTTGTACCTCTGAGGTTTGGACCTGCAAAATCAACAGTGGTGCTCTTTTGTAGTTGGTGGTAATAGCCACATCATCTTTCAGGGAAGTCATATCCTTAGGTTAATAAATCTGCAGTCCCAAGAGGCTCCTAAGGTTAATAATTTGTCATTATGGTTATGAAATATGTGACATTGTATGTGATTTTACATATAGCTGATCTCATGTAGAAATTAGGGACATTTTTTATGTTTTGGGAAATTATTTCTTAAGTTCAGCAGCCATTTTCTTCTCGTAGTGCAACAGTTCTGTGGAAGTGGAACTTTTTCCTCCTTACTTGAATTGTATAGTCCTCAATTCATCTCTGAGAAAGGGTGGTGGCTGCCTTTATATTAGTACTGCTTCCCTCTACTAAGTAGTAAACCTAGAAAAGGATTTTGCAATGGATTCCAAGGTATTTATTTAGTAAATCATATTTATTTCATACAGGATGTTTAATTAAACTGCCAAGTGGCTTTTTCTTCATTCTGACCATCATTTTGATTTAAACAAACTCTATTCTGGTTGACACTGCAGAAGAAACTAAGCTGAAACCTGCACTGTCAGATATCCTTTTTTGGGGGGCAGACAGCTGGATTTTTAAGAATATTTGTAATAAACATTTTAGAAAAATAAGTTAGGCGAGTAAAAATTATTACATAGGCACAATTCTTTTAAAAAATCGGTTAGATTTTAGATTTGGTTAAAATGCTTTCTATTATTAGTATTCTTTTTAGGAGGTAAGTATTCAGATAAATTGTTTTCTCAGAAATTGACTCTGAATACAGAATTTCAGATCACTGAAAACAGGTCATTTGAAATCTGTATTTCCTTCCCTTTTTCTAATTCATTTTATTTACTCAATAGGATTTTCTCATGAAATTAACTTTTTCCTTTCTGCATAGTTATATAAACGTGCTTTTCTGATGAAAAATTTTATCCATTTTGACACTTGTTAAAGTGAACTTTTACTTGAAGTATTTCTGGTTTTAAAGCCAGGATATATGACCAGAGGCAGATAAATAATATCTCCTTATTTATAGTCACAGAATTTCTCTAATTTTTCAGTGCTTTTGGAAAAGTAGATCTTGTGCCTAAAAGCATGCTTTTGTGATTGAAATCTTTTAGTGAACTACTTACTCAGGTCAAATGCTTCTAAAGCCCTTCTTTTCTTTCCCTCGGGATAAATTGCATAATGTGTTACCAATAACAACGCCACATCATTTCAAAGAAAACTAAAGTAGTACAAATCTAGGTTTCTGGAAACCAGATGGCGGGTGGATAGCCCTATTTAACAGGTTACCACGCAAAGAGTATATTCGTTTAATTACCAAGGATTGGTCATTCCTCTAATCTAACATCTTGTTATACTGCATGTCATTGTCCTTACTGTTCTTGCCTCCCCAACACAAACAATCATGTGCAGTCTTTTTCAGATACTGTCTTTGTTCAATCATTTAACTGCCTAGTAATATTGGGAATTATAAATATATTTGCCATTGGGAAAAAAACAAGCATTAATTCACTGGCTTAATTGTCTTTGGGGGACCAGGTGGTGCCTTCTCCCTGGAGGAAGATAGACTGGAGAGACGAGTTGTTAGAGTACCATCTGACTTGAACAACTTTTAAGAAGTCTGGTTCTAGTTGCTTTCAGTCCTTTTGAATCCAAACAGTTTTCAGTTCTCTATTATTACAGAATTGCTTTCTGAAAGAATTAGTTATTTTATTACTGGGTAGTAGTATAGATTTAGTTCTTTGTGAATCTTTGTTTTTGGTCTCTTTCAGGTTGTTTGAAGGACGTTCCTCAAGAAAACCAGAGAAGCTTAAAACGCTCTTCTGCTACTTCAGAAGAGTCACAGAGAAAAGTAAATTCCTTTCATTCTTAACTATAATTTTTATCACTGATGGGAGACAGTTCAGATCAAGAACATTTTGTGTTCAAAGTACACCTTCCTGCCCAAACCAAATAATTCATTATAATCTAGATTTTATATACATGTGTGCCATGAGTGTGTGGGGTCTTATATATTCTAAAATTAGAGCAGCGTAACATACCATAATGTGTTTTCATGAATAAAAACAAATTAATATTTTCAAAAGGAAGTATGTTGACCAGGAAATGCAGTTTTTGGTGTTCTTTATTTAAAGAAGCATTGACTTTTATAATTAGTTTATTTGTAGAAGTCAAGCAATTCATTGTCTTCCTATAGGTCCCTCTCTTTTGTGTCCCCTTTAAACCCTTTGCAGAGTTCTTATAAAGCAGTGTTTCACTTAGTGTTCACATGTCTGTCTTCCTCTGTTGAACCTCAACCATCTTGTTTCCCCAGAGGCTAATTGCAGCCCCTAAGGCAGTGGTGGTAAATATCTAACCAGTGCTCTTAGTAACCACTGACTGTAGATTGCTATTGCCACTTCTGTCCTAGGAGCTGGGTAGCTACAGACACTTTGTTAACATCTCTAAGCCTCAATTTCTTCATCTTAATAGAATGATGATAATTATCTCATAGGCTAGTTGTAAATATTAAATGAAGTTACATGCTTAATAAATACTAGCTTTTACCAGTGGGTGGCTTTTCTTACAAGTTGGTTTTAAAGCAAACCGAAACTTCTCAAAAGCTTGCTTTTGCTAACTCTGGTCAAGTGAAATGAGTAATGAATTCTTTTTAGTTCTGGTCATACAGGTTGTGGGATTATCTTGAAACATATCATTGAATCATTTTAAGGTCATTTTTTTCCTTTTGTAAGTATCTCTCATTATAGTATATTTAATTGGCA